GGAGGCCATCCACACCTTCTCCTCCTCCATGATCTGCTGCTGATGAAAATACGACTCGCACCTATTGATGAAGATGAGAGGATCAGACTTGCCGTCGTAACGCGGGAAATCCATCTTCTGGAACCGTGGCGGACGGTCCTGGTGGTGCTCGCCGGCGCTGGACTTGCTGGAGGACGATCGTGGTTCGACGGCCAGGCGTTCAATGGCCCGGGAATTGGCCTCGACCGAGGTCTGTAGGGTCTTGAGGGTGGCGGCCAGGGTCTCCAGGGTGGCCTTGAGGTCGGCGTTGTCCCCCATGGTGGAGGCGCTGCGAGCGGCGGGCGATGAAGGTGCAGAGTGCGGCGGCGGTGGAGAGGCACCACACACAGGCGAGGAACGCCGGGATCGTGATACCAGGTTGTCAAGGACGTCGGCGTTAAGGGTAGCAGGACCCCGACTACGTAGTTCGTAGTCGCGATCCGTGACTAAGGCGAGGTTTTACCCCTCTGCGCCTAGTTTGTTGGAAGAAGAGAGAAAGAGAGATTAGATGACAATATCTTCCTTTTTCCCTTTTATTGTCACCGTACCAGACTAAATAGGTCTTAGAGACTAACAAACCAGGAGCTAATTGGTCCTTAATCCAAGGAACTGACTTGATACTCTTTCTATCCTAGCCACTAGATGGCTCAACCTGCTCTGCATGTCCAGAGGGCGACGGCGCGGCCCCAGCAGCGCGCTTGACGGCGCGGCGTATGTCTCAGGCGCACCGTTTCCTTGCATAGGGGCGGCCCCACATGACAATATAGTTGTAGAGTTATCAGAACTGGGAGATGGGCATTTATTTATACTTACAAGGATGTTGCATCGTTGTGCAGTGATGATGTACGACCCTGTTCCCTTGAATTTATCAACCATGGTATATTATTTTTCTCTCACAACAAATCAGCGAACAGTACTTTCCAACCCGGCTTTTCAGCATCTGTTGCCTGATAGCGATCCTGAACCTGAAGAGGACGCCCACCCTGATGAGGCTGAACGATGAATCAATTCAGGTGGGCGCTGCTGTCAAGCAAGGCGCACCAAGAGCATAGTGGCATTTCATTTCCCCCTCCAGTATACGCTGATGCTGCTGGCATGCTCAACCTGGACATGACGTTCTTCCTCAGCTCTGCTCTGCAGAACCTGTAGCTGTACTGCTGTAGGTACGCATGCGGTGCCCAAGACCGTTTCTTTTTCTTTTTTGTTGGAAAAATTCCATGCCAAGACTGTTTCTCTCCGTTTCAATCATACCCATAACTTTCTTCTTGTTTTCTTCCAACAAAAGTGAAACCAATTTCGTTTTCACCATTTGAGTCAATGCCTCTCTTGGAAAAAACAGGCTAGAAGCCTCCAACTCCTGGGATTTTGGAAAATCTAGGCTCTTATGGACTGAACTACTCTATGTAGACTAAGCAAAGTGTGGATTTTTCAAAGTGCAAACTGGGATTAAGATTGGTCACTGAAACTTACTTCTCCGGTCTTCTTTTTTTGGAACATAATAATGGTACTTCTCCGGTCTTCCTTTCTAACCCAAAGCACCGGTTCCATCAACTTTAATTTGAAGGCAGAATAGTGTAATAATCGCACACTTTTATAACCACCAAATGAAAGTTTGAGAGAAACCGGATAGGATTTTGCATATTGATCGTGTTGAGTCGAGCTGAAAAGCAAAGGTGACAGCGGCATTAGTTGCTCACTGTCGAGTGTGTGTGCTGGGTCATCAACGGGCCGCCACTGTAGAAAGGCAAGGTGATGGCAGTCCCAGTCCAGGAACCAGAACCACTGCGTAATTGTGATTGCCATGCATAGCTGAGCCGAGAAACCACTGCGTAACTGCCATAGCTGCTGCTACGTGAAAGCATGCTTGATAGTGCATGAAAACGATGTCTTCACCTTCCCGCTGAGAAAATACTGCCTGTGATACTCTCTTCTTTTGGGTTAGCAGTTTCGTCGGCACGATGAAGTGTGCGATGCCTAGATATTTTGTTTAGGCTGATAGATAGATTAGGTTAGAGTATATACTCCTACTACGCATAAACCACCATAGGATGACGCGTCCTCTATCTGCAGAGAAAAAAGCTGGCAAAATATCTGCCCCAGCTCGCCTCCGTCACACTGGGGCCTTGCTCTGCTGGGCAGCAGCACTTGTTGGTCAATGACGCCATCTGGGACTGGAAACGCGTCCATGACAGCCGGATAGTTCACTTTGACAAAACGCTGTGTAGGCATGCCCCTAGTCAAACCAGACGAGTAGTCTGCACGTACGGCCTTTTTTTTTTTTTTTTTTTTTGCAAAGCTCGGCTGCGTATGAACTGCACAAGAGTTCCACACGCCATGGTCGGCTTAGCAGGCAGTCAAGCCAGTCTTCTAACTCACTTCCTCCGTCTCAACAATATTAGTTAGTCCAGTATTATAATTATAAATATCGATACCTTTGTCATATATTTAATCAAATTTAAGGTTATGTTTGGTTTAGAGACAGAGAGAAATGAGAACGAGTGAATCCTAGTTTTCTGGGATGGAATGGTCTCATGCCCCCGTTTGCCTGTTTTGCTGAAGGGACACGAACGTTCCTGTTTTGTATTTGGTAGAAAGGACAACAGGAAACAGGATAAACTCTATTAGCCATCGTTTATGGACTATAGATATCAGTCGCATACAACATAGAGAAGAAGAGCGGGCCTAGAAGCTGAGGGCGGGGCTCTCCCGGGGATGGCATCCATCGTCATCCACCAAGCTGGGGCCAAGGGTGTCTCATTCGTGTGCAATAGGTAGCCATGGCTCCGCTCCTCTTCCTACCACCTTGCGCCGTCCACCTCCCGCATCGTCGACATCGGTGGCGCCGCCCAACATGTCTGGATTGGAGATGCTCGTGAGAAGGAGGCGAGGAAACGAAGCTCGAGTTCACATCCTAAGGCATGTATGAAATCTAGGAATTTCATATGAATCAGTTTAATTTTACTGGAAAACATAGATAGAGGGAAAAAAATCCCGTGTTCCCAGCGTGCTCTAAGAAAGCAACAAGATCATATCTAGTGTTAGTCCTCAAATTTACAAGGAATATTCCTATCTAGGATAATCCTTGAAAAAAAAGACTGTCCCAACTAAGAATGAAAACGGAACAGAAATATCTCGAACCGAACCGCATCGTTTTCTATATTTAATCCAATCGAATCCGTATTTTTTTGTCCGACTTTACCGTTTTCGCTTTCGCATTTGATATGTTTCGTATTTCAAATGTAAAAGTAGAAAACGGTTTACACACTTTTTTCGACCGTTTTCTACTTTTCTACTTTTAATTTGAAATATTCCGAATTCAAAATTCGGTTTAAACCGAATTTGGCCAACTGCACAGGTCATACAGCCTAATTACAGGCTGCTCACCACGCAGCTGCGTTCTTTTCTACTGGTGGCTAGCTGCCCTCTCTTATAGACGGCGCCCAGTCTCATCTCTCTTATTATGTATTTGGTCGTGCATTTGTTTAATGCTATGCACTTGAACTAGATTATGCACTTGTTAGTTGTGAACTTGTTATGTATTTGGTCGTGTACTTGTTTAATGCTATACACTGTGGGTCGGTATTTCGTATTGAATTTTCGCATACCGACCGTGTTCGATATAATTCCGTTCGAATTGATTCGTTTTCGAAATTCTAGATATTCCGTAAGTTCGTGTTCATTTTCGTGTCCAGCTTATCCGCTTTCGCTTTCGTATTTTAAATGTAAAAGTAGAAAACGGTTGAGGAGTTTTTCAACCGAGTTCAACCGTTTTCATCCTTAGTCCAAACCCCAAATCTTACATTTTTGTTTTACAACACCCAAAATCCAACATTGTTTGACTGGCGTGCTGCAACGCGTCGGCATCCATCCACAGTACAGTAGAGCTACAGCAGCGTATGTACGGCGCATAATAACTGCGGCTGCTCTGGCAGAGTGACGACCACCGCTGCTGCGTGCATCCAGTCACGGACCATTGGCACCGCAGCTGCCACCGCCGGACGACGACCATGCCCCCCGGCCGGTCACGGAGCCTGCTGCCTGCCTGCCTGTGGATCGGTGACGGTGAGCCCGCAGCAGCTAGATTGAGCTCCCCGGTACAGTACATTGCCGTCCCTCCCGGCAGCGGCGTAGAGCCCCAGAGCAGAGCAGGCGTATCCTTGGCAGATTCACCACCCAGGACGGCGACGGGAAGGACCACGACCACCGTGCTCGCCCTCCCGAGCCCCCCCCCCCCATGGAGCACAGGGCACAGGACTCAGGAACAACCATTAACACCATGACAGTGGCAGGCAACAAGACGGCCAGGCCAAAACCGGGCGAGCCCGATCCATCCATTGCAGGGCGGGCAGTGGCATCGATACAAAACATCACACGGGGCATGGGAGGCCCGGATCGGAGACAGACCGGCAGAGCTCACATGCCATGGCAGGCCATCTTTAGAGCTCACATCGCCGTCACCGGTCCTGCTGTGCTACAACATGCAAATGCCTCCTTCAGAATTCAGATCACCAGTCCAGTCGACCTCGCCGGCAGCCACAGTTCCCGACCGTGGACGATGCCATGAATGGAGAGAATGGGCAAGCCATGCTCTCCCGACAGCTTACATTGTACACTGATGGTGTTACATGTCTGTGGCTGAAACTCAGCTCAACCATAGCACAGCTGCATGAACAGGAAGGAATGGAATCTATAGCCGGTGGCAATGGAATACGGCAATGGCCAGGTGAATCCTGGCACGCCCAAAAATAGGACGGACAGACAGACAGACATGGACATGGGGAGAAGAAGAAGAGAAGGCATTACACTACTTATTTTAGTAGTAGTAGTAGCTCCTAGTATATATCTATATAAACCCACGATCACGCTTGCTTTTGGATGTCCTCATCTTGGAAAGCCAGTGGCAATGGCTGCTTCAGCTTCACCACAAACCAGCCGGCCGAGCAGCCGGCGCTCTGCTCCACTTGCACAGGATCCAATGCCGATCACAGGTCGTGCTCGGGCTTGTCCATGCCGCCGCAGCTGTCACTGTTGGCCATCCGGCTCGACCCGCGCCCGATCTTGGAGAAGGACCCCGCCACGGCAGATGACAGCCCCTTGAAGCTGCTGCTGCCGCCGTCACTGAGGTTGTGAGATCGCCGGGACCGCCGCCGGACAAGCTGCGGGGAGGAGTCAGCCGCAGCAGCAGCCTTGTCCGCGTCATCAATGGACGTGGTGCTTGCCCTGGCCACGAGCAGCCGCGAGATGCTGCCGCGGCAGAAGGGGCAGGCCGGCGATGGCAGTGTAAGCGTCGTCGGGTTGGGCTTGCTGTGGCAGCACAGCGCCAGCGTGCACGGCGCGCACATCTGGTGCCCACAGTCCTGCACCTCGATCGTGCACGCCTGGTCGAAGCAGATGCAGCACAGCTCTGCGTCGCTCGCCTGTGAGTGGAGTGAAGTGAGTGAGCACAGATGAACGGTGATGCATGCACATCAGCCCCCCCTCATTTCATTTGCCAGCAACCACAAAGCAATGAACTACTAGATGATGATCATGGTTCATGGGATTCTATTTCTACTCTCACAATTGTCACCAACAGAAAGCACTGAACATGCATACCTCCGAGGACGCATCGTCAATGGCATCGGCATCATTCTCATGCTCGCAAGGGGAAGGTGATGGTGGAGAGTACTTTGTGCCCTTCAGAATCTTCTTCTCCCTCTCCCTGTTGGCTTCCATCAGTGCCGCTTCCAGGAGAGCCTTCGCCTCCGGGTCCAGCTCACTGATGAACTTGAGCGGGGAAGGCCACACCATGGGCTCCGCTGACGAAGGGTTCAGCAGCGCCGCGCACGCTTCGTGGTTGCGCTTCAGCACAACGGCATAAGGAATCCTCCTGCAGGGACCGAAACCATTCGCTGTAAGATCTAGTGGAAAGGATACGAGCAAGCCATTTCCATTCGTTCAGCAAAAGCAATTCGAGAACTACGCGGTCAGCAACTGGCCTCTCGTTGAATTTTTCCAAATGTGTCGTGAATTGGGCAAGTGGTTGATGACTCCACTTGCAAATGAGAATCCAGCAAGTGGTTGATGACTGACTCCACTTGATAGTAGACCAGATCGGTTGTGTTCAATGTGGGACCCATATTTGTTTTTGTTCGTCAGACCCACATCTAATCTCTACTCTACATTGAAATAAGACGATCTGCACAAAGACAGAGATCGAGACAGAGGTGTGGTGCTCACCCTGCTGAGTCCCTCTGGAGACGATCTGCGCCCCAGGCAAGCAGCTTCCGGATGCAATCCAGGTTCCCGCTGCGAGCGGACAGATGCAGCGATGTGCTACCGGGGAACCTGCAGCACCGACGGCGAGTACATGGGTGAGCAGCTGCATCTTGACTGACTGAGCAAGAGGAGACCGACCGCACCACGCAGACAAGACAAGATTAGCGTACCCGTAGGAGCCGGTGAGGGCGGAGACAATGGCGCCGTTCTCCAGCAGCACCTGCACGCAGCCGGGGCGGCCCTGCCTGGCGGCGAGGTGCAGCGGCGTGCCGCCGTGGTCGTCCCTGACGTTGACGAACCGGGCGAAACCCCTGCCAAGCTTCCACAGCAGCAAGTGAGTCGTCGTCGCCGGCGGGCGGCAGGCGGCGGGAGCCGACACAAGGAGGGGGAGGGAGGGGAGGCGAAGGTCTCACCATGAGTCGGCCACCGGCGTGGTCCGCACCGCCGTGAGGATGGCCTGCAGGCAGTCGACGTGACCGAAGTAGGACGCATGGTGCAGGCAGGACCGCCCGTGCAGGGAGTCGAACATCAGGATCTGGCAGACACAGATCGGACAGCGCCGGCGGTTAGTTAGCTAGTCACTCGCACTAGGAAGAAGAGATTCCCTTGCAGGAGCAGGGCAGCGAGGAGGAGTTGGGAGGTTCTGCTCACATTGGCGCCGGCCTGCAGGAGCTTGAGCACGCAGTCGATCTTGCCGTGCATCGCCGCGAGCATCAGCGGAGTCTGGACAATGAAAAACAAGCAAAGCAAGCAGGGGGAGTAAGATGAGATTTTTGTCCTTTGATTTGATTGGAAGCGGTAAAAAAAGGAAGGGAGATTTTGAAGCAGGTAGCCCGGGAGAGATCCTTGCGAGCTGCAAAGGGGGTGAAGAAAAAAAAAAGGGCTTCGATGGGACGGGATCCCGCACCTGCTTGTGCCGATTCACCGCGTCCGGCGGCACCCCGTGATCCAAGATCATGGACAGCACCTGCAGGAAGGAGATGGAGAGAGGTGAGCGAGGTGGTTGGCTGGCAGTTGGATCAGAGGCCATGCCATAGATGGATTAGGAGCAGAGCCGAGCGGGAGGAGGAGCACCTCGAGGCGGCCATTCGCGGCGGCGATGTGGAGCGCGGAGAGGCGGTCGTAGAGCGTGGCGCGGCGGGCGAGGGAGGGGTCGGCGGCGAGGAGCGCGCCCAGGGCGTCGAGGTCCCCGACCTGCGCCGCGCGGAAGTAGTCGTGCTCGTCGCCGGTGCGGGCGCAGCTCACGCCGTGCCCCATGGCTGCTGCCCGAGCTGCCGGCGGCTCGCTTGCTTGGTACTCTTTTTTTTTCTTTTCTTTTTGGGGGGTGACAGAGGAGCTGAGAGGCTGCTCCGGCCCGACTCCACCCGCCGGCGGCGAAGTGGGGAGGTAGGTGCCGGGGCCGGGCGCAGCTCCGAGGGCCGAGGCAGCAGCGTGGAATGGGGAAAGAGTGGCGACGGCTTTACGCCTTTTTATCGACACCCCTCTGTCGCTCTCTTTCTTCTCTCTCTAAACAACAACAAAAAAAAAAAAGAAATTGAATTCAAAATATCTCTGGTTTTGTTAATTAATTTTCTGTTGATGATGATGATGCTCAATCCAAATGGACGCTTCGTTCACCGACAGCCGGGACTCCAAAATCCAACCGCTGAGCTGGTCTATCTGTCGAACAATTTTATGTTTAGTCAAATTTATATACATATATAATATTTATATTATCAAAAAATATTATTAGATTAACTATGAGATATATTTGGTTTATAAGCCTAGTATATGACGAGGACATAGAGATTGATACCATTTTAAATGGGTAGGATCTCTGATCGGTCTAGAAGGGGTGAATAGATATGTCAAAATAAACACTCAATTTTTTATCAAATTCACTCTGCGACGTTGCTGCTCTAGAGGGTGACACTGTCGGGTCAGAACAGCGACACTGCCGCACTTGTAGACAACTTCGAGTCACAGTTTAAAATCCGTGAACCAAAACTTAGATTGGAGATTTTTTCTAGCTTACTGTAGGTATGACAATCACATATCAAGAGCTAGAAGTAGTAGGAACACCACACACAAGTAGATCGACTAGAAACCCTAGAAATCACCTCAACCACAATATGTCATGCAAGTAATGTAAATCAAGCACAAGTGACACAATGATTTATCCCGTGGTTCGGCTCGCCACCAAGACTTGCCTACCTGCACGTTGTTGAGGTTAGCCACTAAGGCTTAGGGCTTTCCAACCTTTTCTTATTCTCAATTCAAGAGACTTAACTCTTGAGATGATGAGTGAGTTTACTAGCTTTAAGAGATGGTTACAAACCTCATAGAGCTGCCACACAAGTTGGTAAGCTCCACGGGCGACGCTCTAGCCGGCTAGGAGCCAAGCTCCAAGAGTAACAAACACAACCACAACCACCGGCTAAAACGTGAACCAAGTGCTCTTTAGAGTTGGGGAATCAATGGAGCTGCTCTTTAATCAAGTTTTGGATCATTTTCCCTCAAGGATTGATGGAGAAATCAATAGATTTGCTTGGGGCTTGAGGTCAACAATGGAGGGAGAGAGAGAGGCTACCTGTTTTGGACGAGCTAGAGTGAGAAAGAAGAGGAAGAGTACCGTTGGGAAGGAAGGGGAAGGGTATAAATATCGCCCAGCCCCCAACAGTCACTTAAGTCGCGGCAGTGCCATGGCTCAAGTGCGGCAGTGCCTCTCTTCAAGTGCGGCAGTGCCATACCACGCAAGACAACAAGGATAAGAGTGAAGTGTAGACTGTCTTGGCTGTGAATCTGAGGATGCATGTGTATGTTTGAGCACTTAGTAGCATATATTAACTTAAGCATTGTGTCCCCCTTTATAGTACGGTTTTTTCTATACTCAAATTCAAAATATAAAAGAATTTAAACTTTCTTTGAGTTTTGAAGTCATCTACATTTGTAATCGGGGGCTCCTCCGTTTCATGTAGCATCCTCGAACATGAATTCCCTGCTTGTCATCTCGATAAATCTCATTAGTTCTCTAATTACGTAGTCTTTATCACCGAAACCCATAATTAGGGTTTGATTGCACTTTCAAAATGAACTAGCTTAAACTTACGAAAGATAATTAAATTTAAAACTTAAGAAAGATTGACTATGTTTCAATTTAGAATTGTGTTTTTTCCTTTTGGACGAAGGGAGAAGCTTTTTTTCATTGGATTTTGCAGCCGCAGTTATTCTTGTCCCTTTTTTCTCGAGGGATTATTCATTATTCTCTTATTCTTAGTCTTTCGGTGTGAGATTATTAGATTCATTGGTAGATGCTAAGGGCATGTTTGGAACATAGTTTTTTCATAGGAATTTTGGAGGATTTCATTCCTCTGGAAAGAAAGCCTGTGACTGTGTTTAGAACATAGGATTCGTAGTCTCCGTTCCGGAGGAAAGGCTTCCAGCTACGTGTGTTTCACGGGAAATAAAACATCCACCGTGACCTAAGGGAAAGCTTCTCTCTCTCTTTTTCTCCGTCGCCTCTTTCTCTCTCTCTCTCTGACTCCTCCCTCCCGCCATGGTGATTGAACCCTAGAGAAATTTGGCACGGACAGACGGAGATGGCAAACCAGCAGCAGCGAATCGGCCCATCCCCATGAAATCCCCCTCTCCCCGCTTCGTCTCTCCCTGCAACTCCATCGGTGCAGGGGCTTGATGTCCACCAATCTAGGGGAATTCAAGAAATCCACGAACCAGGTAGGATTTGATGCAACTCCATGTAGTGTCGCCAGGAGAGAAGGGGGTTCGTTCCACGGCCGTGCCTAGGACTACTACTTGCCTGCTTGCTCTGTGCCTTTCAACTACTTTTATTGTGCATGGGTTGCTGTCTTGCCCTTTTTGTTTTTGTCAGCCTGTGTTCCATCGATTATTATTGTTGTACATATAGGTCCTTTCCTGAATTCCGGTGGCTTGCTTCCCCTTCAAAAGTAGTTTTATTTTGCCCTTGTTTTGGATCTGGATCCGAATTTGTGGATTCGGCAACACATGTTCTATTTAAAGATCTGATCTATGGAGTCCTTTTATCTTTTCCCTAAGTTTATGTAATAGATGTTATTTTTGTGTGCTTGTAACTAGGAAGCACTCTCTCCAGTTATTTTTATAGCAATTAGCACAAGGAGATAGCACTTACGTTTTGTATATTATGCCTCTAGATTTTTTCCCTCATGGTAGGATCTCTAATATATGTTATTTAACTTATTTTAAAACTGGAATTTTCATCATGTTTGTCATAGGCACCTCAAAGAATAGAGCTAAGTGGAATCACCAGAGGAGGCTATATCTTATTGAACTCTTAAAAATCCATGATGTGCCTAGATTTCGAACACACAATGCATGGAATAAGGATGCTTGGACTAGTATTGTGGCTCAGTTCAATCAGAAATTTTCTTTGTTGTTCTCTATTGGACAAGTGAAACAAAAGGAGCAGGATATGAAAAAAGAATTTTGTACCATAAAAGATTGGTGGCAGAAAGTGGTTTTGGCAGGGATTCTGATAGAATGATGGTGATGGCACCACCAGATCTTTGGGCAGCAATGGAGGCACGCAAGAATAAGGACGCTCTGTTTTGGCGAGAAAAGTCATTTCCGTACTATGATGATCTGTTTGCTTTATATGATGGTGAGTTGATATGAGCCTGATTAGTTATTATTTTCACTGGATGTGATTACAGTACTTACGACCACTCTAAAATATTGTCATAATTTTTACAGGGCATTATGCCGAAGGAAGAAGTTGTCGTGGTATGGATCATTATGCCAATAAGGCAATATCGCCTTCACAAGTTTCTCCTGATGTGCACCTGCAGTCACCTTCAGCTAGTATACCTACTCCTGGTTCTTTCAGTTTTGATATTGAAGAGGACATGGATGATACTAATTGGTTTGGTAATGATGCATTTACTCCATTGGGAATTTTCCTGCCTCAAGAAACACCAGATGGACCATCTTCCATAAATATAGCACCACATGTTCCTGAACAATTTGAAAAAACTCTTCGTCACAGTGCCCGGCCATCTAGTTCAACTCCGGAGGCAGTTGATGGTAAGCGTGATAAAAGGCAAAAGACCAAGCACACTATTACAACTGAACATTTTCATGAGAAGTACTTGAAGCTGAAAAAAGAAGAGATTGAATGATTCGCTGCCATAGAGGAGAAGAAGCTAGATGATCCTTTCAGTATCAAGAAATGCATCACTGTACTTGAGGGGCTTAGTGAGCTACAAACTGGAGATATGCTAAAAGCAGCAGACATCTTCAAAGACAATCCGTCAAACAGGGAAGTTTTTCTCTCATTTGGTTGTGATGCATTACGAGTAGGATGGTTGCTTAGACAAATTTAGATTACCTAAGCAAATTGATATTTTGGTACACTTTTGGTTCATGTGCATATATGCTCACATGATTAGGATTAGCATCCTGTAGTGACTGGTTTACAGTACCTGTCACTGTCTTTTGTAAAGTACTAAACTGCAGTTCTGATAATTACCAAGAAATTTCAGTACAAGCTAACTAGGTATGCTAATGCATAGGGATGTTTAGGATTAGCATCCTGTAGTGACTAGTTTACAGTACCTGTCACTGTCTTTTGTAAAGTACTGAACTGTAGTACAAGCTAACTAGGTATTCTAATGCCTAGGAATGTTAAGTTACATTGTAGTACATCATTATCGCTGAACTGTACGTCTTGCAATGTAATCTTCCCACATCCTGTTTGCTATGTGATCTCGCATCTCATTTCCAGCTTGTCGCAAGTTGTTAAATGCTGGCACATCATTACTGTATTGGTCATCTCCTTCTGGTACATCAGTCATGTTGCTTTGATTGATATCTGTGGTAGCACCATGTACCAAACTAGCATCTCCATTGTGTAACCGAATGAAATTGTGTGTTAAACAACAAGCTACAGAGATATCAACCTGTGTGTCTATGTCATATGCTGAAGCAGCTTTTAGTATAGGGTACCTCATTTTTAATACACCAATAGCTCTCTCTATATGATTCCGTAGTTGTGCATGCCGAAGGTTGAATAATTCCTTTGGATTTTGTGGTTTTTGACCTGCTCTTCCTTGTTCTTGTAAGTGATATCTAGTCCCACGGTGTGGAGCAAGAAATTGTGGTGTATTTGCATAGCCTGCATCTACAAGGTAGAATTTACCAGGGGGACACTAAATCCATGGTTAAGTGCATCCTGTAAAACTCTTGCATCAGAAGCAAACCCCTCCCAACCGGCATGGACATGCACAAATTTTAGATCGAAGTCACGTGCAACCATCATGTTCTGTGATAGACCTTGCTTTCTATTTCTATATGGTTCTTGTTTTGCAACAGGAATAGTCATTGGAATATGAGTGCCATCGATAGCTCCAATACAGTTCTGTATATATATTAATGAAGTCAATATAAAAGGCCCACTTTACATGTATTAAATATAATTAAATTGACATGAAAGTGAACTATTTTTTTGATTACCTGAAAGTATGGAGAAAATTTAGGCTGCCTTAATATACAATGTGGGTGTGGAGAAGGCAAGCATATGTAGTGGCATGTGAGTTGTGTAAGTGCATTGAGCATTGCTGCAAAAGTGACGGCTAATTGTTTCCCCACTATGTTGGAATTGATCTTGTAATACTCGATTGCTTGCATTTTTTGATACTGCATAAAGGAATATAGCTAATTGCTCTTCCACCGAGACATACCTTTGAATCGACAAGTCCTTTTTCACGCAATCTTCGAACCAGAGCTTAGAAAATCTCTCTCTCCATATGGAATCGTCTTTGGCATAAGTCTTCATGCCTATTTAGTGTTTCATCAATAAATGTGGCTCCATTCCGGACTGATGTATGTATGGCTTGCCTTTGTGATGATTGGGATCAACTAGCTTCTTGTAAGGTAGGGAGTACGAAGAGAAAAAATTCCTCTTCATTTTTTAATCTACGTTGGTAGCTTGAATCCATAGAAAGAAATGCTATTGTCTGTGATGGATGGATGAGAGAATGACAAAGTTATTATATTGCTGGACAACACACAATGCTGACCCGACAAGCTTATATATAGCAGGAGCAGCAGGGTGATGTAGCAATGCCAGGGTAAAAAAAAATGCAGACCAGCAACGGCACTTGTACGGCTCCAACGGCTAACTTACCCAACGGTTATTTCCTCCTTGCATGGGAAAACGTGAATGTTCAAAATTTTCGTACAATCCAAACAACAAACTTTAAGTATTCATCTGTTTTAGATTCATGCGGTTTTTCGCTTTATACTACATCCTATTCATGTGTTTTTTTTATTCCTCTATTTTTCATTCCTTCGTTCCAAACAGGCCCTAACAATGTTCTTTTCCAACCTGCTTTATCTCACCACCATATATGCTCGTGATCATGGCCCACCAGAACCAACCACAAATCTAGTTAATTGGGATAACATATTTAACCGCTTCATTTGTGATTCCAAAAGGCACGTGAAATGAATGAATTTTAAGGTGATGTACAGAAAAACTAACTTTGAACGGCCTCCTTTCTCCGAAGTCCCTGTTCTTTTTTAAGAAAAATTTAAAAAAGAGAAGTGAGATTCGAAAACTTTTGAGCGTACGTGTCCGAATATAACCAAGGACCCCATGCCTGAAATCGTGTCGGCGCTGTGGGACAAGTCCTATTCTTTTCGGGTATGGCCTTTACCCTTTTTTCTCAACCTTTTTTTCTTGGCTCCTAATGTAATGGTGGGTGGGTACAACAGCATCAAGTGCATCATTGTTGAACCTAATGATGATGGTTTTGGTATTATATATCTTGCGGCCAATGTGGCTAAAGAGAGGGCTTTATTGGGAAAATAAACGTTTTCAAAAAAAATTAATTTTTTTGTGACTGGTTAATTGGGATAATTTTTTTCTCATCATGCCTAGAGTAATACTCCTTTGTATACCTACATATGTGAGCTAATTGCGCGCGCACTTTGACAACCAACAAAGAGAAATTGACTTCCACTTGGGTGGCGCAAGGTTGGGGTATGAGTTTTGGGCACATGAACCATGAACACGGAAGACGACTGAATCAACACTATTGTGTGGAAAACATAACCACACAACCATTTTCCACAAACGTGCACATGCTATCTTAATATGATTGACTGATCGACAATAATGTAAGCCATCCTTTCAACTCAGATGGATGTCTCTTAAGTTAGACAGATTCGTGTCAGTGGCGTGGCTCTAATTGCAATTAGATCTGCCTACTGCCCATGGCACAAGTCTCCTTTTGTTTTCATGTGCTATAACCGGTGATAGTGTTTTATTACTATTTAGAAACACTAGGAGAATCTCCACCATTTTGGTAGTGATTAGTATCAACGGATATACCATAAATATATTTTCGTAGAGTGCATATTTGATGTCATAAATTTTATACACTTTTTATATAAAATTAGTTAAAAAGCAAAAGTTTCACTTAAGATATCTCGAAAGCTTGTTTTCTTAGGACGGAGTTTTATATTTCCGTGAATCCTGGAGCCCGTGATATGCTGTAGGATGAATCAGGAGATTTGCAAAGTTTGCATAAACCTAGCTTTAGCTTGGCTGTAAAGCTGGTCTCACTCTCGCAGCTGGCTAGGCATCAAGGCCATACCGTGGATGTGATGCTCGCTTGGTTCTGGTGTGCCTTGTTTTTCTCCAACACCCGGCCACTGCACCATGTCCGATGCGATTCAGTGCAAAGTCCCGGTTTCATGCATGTTGGAATCGGGAAGAGCACAACATCGTCGCTGGATGCCTGGATCCAAGCGAAGTGCGTGTAACGTGCCAACGGATACAAACACGACAAATATCAAGTGATTATTAAAAGTGCATCATCAGTCCAGTGGCACGTACGGCGCCATTCGAGTACAAACTCAAGCGTCCAAAAAAAATATAATTCTAAATTTGAATCAAGTGTTTTATTTTTTTTAAAAATAACTAAACTAATACTAGAAATCAGTAATCTAACATACTTATATTACTAGTATTTTTTATAAGTTTGATTAAAACCTAAAATTATTTGACTCAATCGAAAATGAGAATTGCATTCACTCCTACACAAATAATTTGCAAGACGGTGCCCAAACATTAACCGAGGCGGTCATAAAATCCAACCGCCTCCAAAAATATCGGACGATTAACAGAGACTATCATTTTCATTAATACAGACAGTCAAAATTGCCCGCCTTTTAAATCGATTATCGGAGGCGGTCAAAAAATAACTATCTCCAAAAATCGATTTACGGAGGCTGTCGTCTTAAGACAACCGCCTAAAAAATGGTATATTTTCGGAGGCGGTCGTCTTAAGACAACTGCCTCCGTAAATCAATTTTAGAGATGGACATCTATAAAACCCGCCTCTGTTAATAGGCGAGGCCCAGTGCGCGGCCCGTTTTCTCTCTATCAGGCCTATATATATACATAGCATTACGGTTTTAGGGTCATTCATCCTCTCCCAACTCACTCAGTAGGCCGGCGCCTCTCTCCTCATCTCCCTCTCCTCCAAGCGCGCAACTCGCACTCCAGGCGCGCGGCTCCCTCTCCTCCTCCCTCTCCTCCAGGCGCATGGCATAGCTCCCTCTCCTCCATGTCCTCCCTCTCCTCCGTCCACAGGAGGGGGCTCGCGCCGGGACGCCTCGCGGTGGCGGGCCGCATGCCCCTGGCTGGCGGCGCCGTGTGCGGTGGGGAGTAGCGGGGTGGAGGCGGTGGAGGCCCGACGGCGGTGGCAGCGGCAGCGGGGAGGCTGAGGTCGACCGGATCCAGGGCGACAGCTCCACCACGACGGCGGCTCCCTCCCTTGCGGCGCTCCACCACGGCGGCGACTCCCTCTCTTCCTCTCCGACGGTGGTTGCCCGGGACCACGCCTAGATCCGGCGGACCATGCCCAGATCTGGCCGGCCACACCCAGATCCGACGGTCCCTCCTCCGACAGACGCTGTGGCGGCGGCGGGCTTGATTGGGCTCGACAACGGGCTCGATTGGGCTCGCTCGGGTTTTTTTTTGTTTTTTTAATCGATTAACGGAGGTGGTAAGCTTAATGCGACCGCCTCCATTAATCGATTAACCGAGGCGGGCATTGCAACCGCCTAAAAAAAGATTGGAGGCGGTTGCAATGCCCGCCTTCATTAATTC